GTATAAGAGACAGCCAGAGCGCCCGGCGCCGCGCAGAGCCGCCCGAGAGGAGCACTCGCTCTCCTGGAAGCTCTTTATATCGCATCAGCCGATCCCGGCCGTCACGAACACGCTTCTCCTCCGTCCCTCCTCCCCGGAGTTGTGGGTTCTGTCGGTATTTTAGTTCTGAAATTTCTCAGCCAGCCAGGGAGGGGGGAACTGCGCCGGCTGATTTTAGTTCCCCTTCTCCAGCGGGTCCGCGCTTCCTCCCACAGCGAGCTCAGTCAGGAAAGGGATGTGCTGCGGTGACAAGCAAGCAAAATTTGTTCCTTTTCCCACACCTTTCAGAGGTTCCGGGGATGAACTCCAGCCTGCCTGCTTCCAGGGGGTCCCTGCACCCCGCAGGCTGCTCCCGCAGCACCCCCTTCCTGCAATCCCTACAATCCAGCATGCAAGATATAAAAATCACATTTTTTTCCCCCCCAATTTGTGGGTCACGGCTGGAGCTGCAGGCTGCGTCACCCCCCCCCCGAGCAGGGGCTGCACAGTGCTCCAAGAGTCACAGCCCCCATTTCTAGTTTAAAAACCAGCTCATGAGGGATCTGCGTTATGAAACCAGCTCATACGGACACGAGCAGAGCCTCGCCTCAAACGAGTGGCTCCGAGCACTAGGTGCAGAAGCCCCGTTTTGAGGAACTACAACCGCTCGGTCACATCGCTCCGTTCAACCGGGCAAAGCCGACATCCCCACAAAGCCAGGCTTGTGTTCACAACGAGCCCAGAAAGTGCTTTTATCAGGCTGCTGCCCTCTATAAACTCTCCCCAGTTCACCACCCGCGCTCTGGGAAGCGCCGTTCTGGGTAGGGCCCTCACCCCGGCTGCTGGCCACGTGCCCTGGCCTCGTAGCGACAGTCCCGTGGTTTCCAGGCTGAACGGCGGGGACCGACCCACCAACTCCTGCCCCCTCTCCGGTAGGACGTTAGGAACAAACAATTAACAGGCACAGTTATGCACGGGGTCATGGGCTGCTCCGGGGTATGGAGGCAGGGAAACGCTCCATGTTTACATGCGTATCTGTGATGAAACTAAACCATCTTTCCATGCGATAATTACAAACTTGGGAGCACGTCCCCAAGCAGTGGCACAGAGGGGGCATGGGCACAGGCTACAGCTGGATTTTGGCAAACCCCATCACAATTAATACTGCGCCCAGTGTCACCTCTCCCCGGCTGCCATCCCAGCAGCAATCAGGATGTGTTCAGGCCCTTCTCACACACAGCTGTAATAATAAACACCACAAAGGGCTCAAATTCTGTTGGAGATGACACTCAGGTGGGTTTTTTCTAAGCACGAGTGAAAAAGCAGCACTTGCTGGACCAGCCACTGCAGTTTTTCCTGTCCTTTAAGCCCTGCAAGTCCTTGCAAAGGCAAAAGCCATCATGAACCCAACACAACTTGTCACATCCCCTCCTGTGAATCAGCATGCCGTAGCCCTGCCTCGGGGCCACTGGTGCTCGGGATGCAGGGTGGAAACCCCCCATTTCCCTCCAACTCTCCCTACCAGCACAATCCCACACAGAGACGATGGTATTTTCCACTGACTCACCTGCCCTGGCTCCTCCTCCGGGTGCACGGCAGCACTGCCCTTCCCCACTCACGATACCTTCCTTCTCTAATCCAAAGGCCAATCTTGAGAGACATGCAATAAAAAAAAAAAAAACTAAATTAAATATATCTGCATATATTGTTGTGTTTTGTTTTTTTTTTTCCCTTGAACCAATTGTTCTGCATTTTCAGGCTTGGTCACCTGCTCAGGCAAATTCTCCCCACTCCTTCCCCTCCCCACAGCACCTTTCTGTATGAAACACAAACCTGTTGTCTCCAGCTGCTCTGGCAGTCAGTAGTATAGCAGCGAATTGTTTTCTCTACAGGTTAGCTGTGAGAAAGCGGGGGGTAAATGCACTTTACACAGTGACTGTCACCGATCCTGCGCAGGGAGAGCCCAGCCCCAGCCGGGGCAAGGTCACCCACCCTGCAAAGGGACCCTGGAGACTGAGCACAGAGGGGACATTCATAAAGCAGCTCCTCATGTTCCCGCTCTGCAAAGCTGAATATTGGCCAGAAATGGCTTTTTTTCTGCAGCCGCAGGGCTGGGTGAGCCGGCTGCACGTTTCTGTGTTGGTACATTCAAGCCATTTCAGCTCTTCCTTGGCTCAGTTGTTCCCTCCGAAGCAGATTTCCTTCTCCTCTCCCCTCGTGATGCTGACTCAGACTGGTTTGCCCATCCCTAAATCAAGGGGGCTCACTCACATCCCTCGAAGGGCAGAGCGCGGATGGCTGCTAATGCACCCGCCTTCCCTGCCATGCACTTTGCTGTGGGCTAATGCATTTACATGCATTTCTTAGGCTCATTTGCCTTTCCAGCTATAGCAGCCATCCTGGCGTGGGTATTTATCTATGGGCAGCTCAAATCCTCCCCTTGCAAACACTCACCGCCCAGTCTGGGGCCAGCTGGTATCTCTCCGGGTTGTTTATCCAGCCAAATATGTGGGATAAAGACTTTGCTTGCACAGGAACACCAAGGAGGAAACAGGAGCCCGGCCGGAGCCATCAGCAGGCAACAAAAGGGCCTTTCAGAGGGGCGTTTGATGCTCTGGTACTTGCAGAGATGCCAGGGACTCATGTTACCCTGCGTTAGTGGCAGAAATTACTCACTGGCAGTTTGCCCCCCTGCTTTTTTATGCTCAAAGGAAGGTGCTCAACATGTACAGTAAAATCACCGCTGCAAAGCCCAGCCCAGAGCATGGCCACATCCTGGGATTCCTCCAAAGCTTTCCAACAGAGAGCCCAAACCACTGCTCTGGGTGACACGCCACTCCTGGATACCTGCAGCCAGACAGCTTGTCCTGGAAGAAGAAAAGCCCATCCATTCATCAAATCAGCTGAGCCACCACATTGCCGATCTATTAACACAGAGAGTTATTTTTTTACAGTTAGCACCAGAAGTCTAACACATCTGGGGCTGGGGAGGATGTTCAGCTTTACACTCCCATCATCTCCCCAGTCCTACAGTCCCCAAACTGCCCCTTCCCTTGACAGTGCAGCTTTTCAGGAGGGGAGAGATTTGATTTCCTGCCCCGGGCTGGGGGACAGTCTTGTCCCAGGTGCTTGCACCCCTCCATGAGAAGTAGGTCGCCAGCAGTTGGCAGCGGGAAAGGTGAATTTCTGCACATGGCCTGCAGAGCTGCACCAGCAACCAGGGCAGGAGAACAAAATGGGGGAATCCTGGGACATCACGAGTGCTGATTAAATGATCTTTCCCTGGCTGTGCTAATTAATTGCTGCCCCATTGCCCAGACTGGGAGCAAAAGTCCCGATGTGCCACATGCAAACCTACCCCTGGGGGCTGCATCCAGCCCCTTCCCCAGCACCGGCAAGTGAAGCGCCCGGCTCCTCGCTCGCTGCGGCTGCCAGCGCGTGGGTAAACACGAGCACAATATTTGCCAGGCACACCATCTGCCTGGGGAGCAGCCGCGCCGTGGCCATCTGCACCGGCAAGCCGGCTGTGGCAGCCAGGCCATGGCTGCCCGCTCCCAGCCGGAGCCTGGCTCCGAATTCCCAGCCCCTCACTGGACGTGGAGCACGGCAAAGCCTCAGCTTTGCCCCCAGGATGAAAGTCCATCCCAGCCTGCTCTGTGATGGGGTCCCTCAAATCCCAGTTCCCAGCCCACACGCACTGGTCTATACTGGTATCTCTCTCCCTCATGGACATGGAGCACGGCGAAGCCTCAGCTTTGCCCCAGGAATCAAAGTCCATCCCAGCCTGCTCTGTGATGGGCTCCCTCAAATCCCAGTTCCCAGCCCACAAGGACTGGTCTATACTGGTATCTCTCCCCCCATGCTTTGCTTTCTCTTCCCCAATTTAGAGAGCACTGGCCGGGGCTGCAGGCTGGGAACCAGCCATGCAAAAAAAAAAAAAAAAAAAAAAAAGGAAGAGGAAGAGGAAAAGCATCTGCCTGGGAAGCATTTCCACCTTCTCCTGCTTAGCACAATCCTGCACTGGCCCGGCGGGAGGATGTGACCTGCCGGCATCTCCCTGGCAGGGTGAGGAGCAGCTTCAGAGAGAGGGTGCGGGGAGCAGGTGTCTGGGGGGCTGCTGGGACACGGTGTAGAGGACAGTGGTTCCAGTACAACCAGTCCAACCACCGCACCAGGCCTCCCGTCTGCCATTCCAAGCATACGCACATCTGCGACCTGGAAAACAGCATAAGTAAAGCTGCTGTATTAATAACAACAAATAACCCACAGCTTCCTCCTGGCGCTGGTCTGAGGGCTGCTACATCTCATCTGTGATGGTCTGGCTTAGCCCTGCCTTGCCAAAGCGCAGCTTGGCTGGGCAGGAGACCCCCCCCACCTTTGCTGCCAGTGCAACACGTGAGAGAGGGTTGAGGAACTTGTTCATTTTCCTCAGGGCTTCTGTGTCTTGGGTTGCGCCACCAGGAAGAGAGTGGCTTGATCAGGACAAGAGAGGACTTGGGAATACGAGATCCAGGGCTTGAGGATAACAGGGCTGGAAGAGAAGAGCTAGTGTGGTGGCGTGTGGTTGGGTATTTAAGAGCTGAGCTGCGGTTTAACGTAGCTTTACAGAATTAGGAGCAGATGGTGAGTGATGCCTTGTGCCCGAGAATAGGAAAATGCCAGGCAATCACTCACCAGCGATGAGAAAACTCCAAGGAAACCTTATGACCCAGATACGGGACCCGACGGCAGCTCCAGTGTCCCAGTCGGATGGAGTGGAGCCACTCGGTCTGTGCTGCTGTACCAGCGGGAAGCAAGGACTGGGGCTGAAATGGGGGACAGGTGCAGAGACCATGCTGGCTTGGCAGAGCAGGATGTCCCGAAGGCCACGCGGGATGCCAGAGGTGAGGGATGCCAAAGGTGAGGGATGCTCTCGGGCACTGCCGCCTCCCCTGGGCTGTGCAGACGAGGACTCAAAGGCGTTTCCAACACAAAGCAGCAAGAGAAGACACCTTCAAGAAAAACACTAAAAATGAGTGAATAAATGAGAGGGACATTTCAAAATTTTTGTCAATCCTGAGCAATAAACCAGCAGCCTCAGTGGTGGCTCTTGACACCAGCGTTTGGGGAGATACCACCATTCGTAGCCCCCATCACCCAGTCTGCGACCAACCACGCCTCAAAACCCACCAACCATCCTGATGATCTATTCAGCTATTTAATGTATACAGGTTTAGCTCTTTAATGAAAAAACCACAGCCCAGGGAGGTGAGATCACTTGCCTAAAGCAATGGGGTGAGTCCGTACCAAGACAGGAATCCTCCCCAGGACTCACCCCTGCTTCCCTGCTGCAACCTCTCAAACCTGCTCCTGCTCTACAGGTTATTAGTGCACGGCTGTGGTGTGACGGGTGAACACAGCTCCAGTTGTAACGTCACCCAAAACCACCACCAGGACCAGCACGGCTTGCTCACACCCTGGTGAAGGTGCACGGCAGTCCCCAGGTGCCCCCGGCTGCGGGGTACCTCGGCACAACACCCCATGCCCCGGCACGGAGCTGGGATATTTTCCTTTCTCGGCGTAAAGTCCTCACCGGGGAAACGCGCTTGTGACTCCGACTGCACAACAAGGTTATTATCAGTGCAAAGGGCACAAACTCTGCCAGTCAGACCGAAAATAAACACGCCTCAGGCCAGGCCTAAAACCTGCCTCGCGTTGCATCTGTCGGGCTGCTCTCTGCATCTTTTAAGGCACGGATGAGCCATTTTCAGCCAGGAGCACTGCGAGGGACTCGCTGACTTCGGGCATCATGTCAACTGGCCACACAAGCCTTTGGCCACGTGTCAGCGGGGAGTCGGTGGGGCGACAAGGGCCACCGAGGCGGCTGCGGGGTCCCCTGCGCCCCCCGGGGCGGCTCAGCGCCGCAGGCCCGAGGGCTGGATGCGGCTCGGGCTCTGCTCACACGATGGCAGCATCGCAGCACGCTGCGGCGCCGGAGGCCGGCAGGCGAGGGGGATGCAGCAGCCATGCAGCAGGAACAGGCTCCTGCAGCCCTGGCGCGCCTCTCCCTCCGCTGCCACGGAAACGGCAGCTCGGGGCAGAGGGGACGAAGCCATCAGAGACACGCCTCAGCCCAGGACATCACCCACGGGCTGCGGGGACCAAGCCCCCTCTGCTTGTCCCGGCTGCAACCAGCTCTAGTGCAATGACGACACCCGTCTCCCCCTGCCCAGGGACAGGCGGTGGCCCAGGACACCCGACTCGGTCCCCACGGCACGGGGACAGGTGTCTGCAGAAGCCACGCCAGGACCGCTGCTGCACCCACAGCTCTGCCGCGCTCCCAATGCCAAAGGGCACCCAGAGATTTAAAAATTTTGCACGGGCGGGTTGGGCGAGCACACACCCTCCACCCCTCGCACGCTGCAAGTGAAGGGCAAACCCGAATATTTACAAGGAACCGCTCCAAGGGTGGCAAAACCCGCCACGGTCTGTGCCCGGCTCAGCCCTGCTGCTCTCAATAGTTACACTTCAATGCAATGCTTAATTCCCGTTACCGCTTTGGGTGACAGAGCTCGATAGCCAGCTGGCTTCTAGTTATTTTTGTCTTTTTTTTTTTTATTATTTTGGCTCAAACTCTCCCTATTTCACACTGTGGTGGCTCTTACCTGCTCTGCAGCTGCTCACAAACTCAGAAGGATGATTCTGTTTAGGAAAAAAAAAAAAAGGCAAGATACAACTTTTCATCTATATCCTCATTATGGCTTTGAAAAACAGAAAAATCATTGCAGGTCTTGTCTGAAATGTTTTGTTGGTTTTTTTCTCCCCCTGGTCAGTTGTAGCCAGGGGACTCGAGTGGCTCCAGCTGCAGAGAGCAGGTCCTGGGGAGCTTCCCCTGCAGGACACCCCGACCCCCTGTACACCCCCCCGGGCACACCACCGCCATCATCACACTGTGGCACCAGGCACCCGGCTCCGTGGCACCCACGAGCCACGGGCCTGCAGCCCTTGACTCCGACACGGCCGTCCTCTGCTCCACTCCCCCTGTGAGCGCAGCCATCAACCCCAAAACAGCATCAGGCCCCGCTGGCAGTGCTGGCTCACCCCTACAAGCGACCCACACCACCCGCAAATTAATAATATTTGATCCAGCTGTAAATTAGTAACAATAATTTATCCACTAACAAGCGTTAGAGCACAAAACCTTCTTGTTTCTCCGTCCCACCTGCTCTTCTTGGTCCTTAGCATCACATCTTGACTATCCAAGGGATGTTCCCCCACATTCCGAAATCTTTACTTACCTTAAATCCCCATTTCATACAGATGCACTGACAGCCCCAGCCTCCCACCAGCACCGCCGTGTCCGGGTGCAAGTGCTCCGCTGGCAGCTGGGCCTGGGAAGAAGCTGGTCCAGGGGTGCAGCCTTCTCCTGCATCCCTCCTGCACCCCCCCGGGGACCCCCAATTCACACAGCAGCTCGTGCCCGGTGCCGTGACAGAGATGCTCACGTGCCACCACTGATGCCAGCCCAGGATCTCCGTCTGACAAGCAATTAAATCACGTGTAGTTCATCCATACTTTAAAATAAGCTTTATTTAGATCTTTTATAATTTTATATTTGCATCCATGCCTTCAAGGATTCTCCCCCATTCACATGGGGAAAAGTTAAATCTAATGTTACCCATAATTCATATGCTATTTATCGAAGTTCTCTTTTAAATAAATCATCCTCTTAGTAATTTTTAGAATTATTTCCTAATTTACAAAAAAGCTGAAATGCAAAGGAAACTACTCGATAACAAGGAGATTGCTCATCTGTTCTGGTGGTTTTATAGTTTAAATTATAAAAACGCAAGGAGAACAACAACAAAAAACAACCAAAAAAACCCAACAAAACTTATAAAATTGTTTCTCTGCAGAGAAAGATGCCACGAGGCAAACCCTGCCCCACCACCCCAGGCCCTCCCCTCGGCAGAGCCCAGGGTGGGGGCTGGTCCCTCCGCTCGCCCCCCCCCATGGCCTCTCTGCATCATCCCATTAGCAGGAATACACAGCGTGAGGGCATCGGCGGTTTAGTTGGGTGATTTAAGACAAAATACCCCTTTTTTCAACCAGGGTGCGTGTATCGGAATTAAGAAAAATAATACACTATTATAGCATCATTAAATAAACCTTAATACATTTTTTTTAAGAGCTTAAAATTATATCGTAAGCATTAAAGCATAAGGTACTTATCTTGGCATAAGCAGAGCGCGGTGCATGTTAGTGGAGAGGGGAAGCGGCTGCTGTGCCGGGGGGGTGGTTTTGGGGCATTTCCAAGGGATTTGGAAGCACAAGTTGCACCTGAGCTTAAAAATCACCCCGGTCCCAGAAAAACCTCCCCAGCAAGGGACTCGTACCGATTTCCCCAGCCCCCCCTCCCGACGGTGGTAACACCCCAAACGGGAGCGGGGCGGCGGGTCCCAGCCGGGCGATATCTCGGGATATCGCCTTTCCCCTCCTCCTAGCTCATGCTGGATCCCCCAATTTTTCCTCGAAGCAAAAGGTAAGCCCCCAAAACGCGGGCAAAAATGACAGGCAAGTTTGCCACCAGCTCCCCCCTTCCCCCACGTCTGATTTCCCGGCATGTATTTAGGTTTGAGTTTTCCAAGGCGTTAAGTGCTCCTGGGGCATCTGCAGCTGCGGGGCCGAGGGAGCCTGGGGCGGGGGGTCTATGGCTCCAGCTCCCCCCCCAGCCCCCCCAGCAGCAGCTTCCCAGGACAGTACAGTACAAACACACCCTTCCTCCTCCCTGCCCCATCCCAACCGACGTGGAAAAATATAAAAATCCCAAAACTTCTGCAATAATTTAGTTAGAATAGCTCCTCTGGGTTTGTGCAAATAAATTAAAACAACTAAAAAGGAACGTTAAAACACTTATTTCCAGACCGGCAGGCGTTACAACCAGCCCGTGTCGCCTCCGCAGGGTTTGGCCAGGAAGACATCACAGCGAATGAGATTTTGTGTGTGTGTGTGTGTGCGTGTGTGTGTGTGTTTTCTCTCTAAGGTCCCTCAGCTGGGCAGGTCCTTCGTCCCCAAGCGAGGACATCCCGCGGGCTGGGCTCCGGAAAACAGCGGGTTTCAGACAAGAGACGTCACAAGCACAAAGTGCACAATATTTCTGGTATTTACAGAGACACAGCAGTCCTTCAAGTTTCAAGTTTTGTCAAAAAGAAGGAGGAATTAAAACAAAAAAAAAAAAACCCAGCCAACAAAAAAAACAAACCCAAACCGACAAACTGAAGCAACAACAAAGGAGTTACTGGTATAGAAAAAAAACACACACAAAAAAAAAAACCGGGAGAAAACTGAAGTTACGACACAGCTGCATCGCTCCCAAGACAACAGGTAACACGTCCACAGGCGGGGCGGGGGTGGGAGTATGTACATCGGCGACGGCGAGGCCGGGGAGAGGCTCCCGGCGCTCACCCAGCGCGGGGGGGTCACCAGTCCGCGTCCTCCTCGATGTAGTAGTCGGGGGCCGTACCGTCGAAGAGGCCGGGGTCGAGGGACTTGCGCTGCTTCCCGCGGGCAAACACCCTGGAAATGGAGCCAAAGCCCATCTTCTCTTTCTTCTTTTTCCGTTTTTGGTCTTCCAGGTCCTCTAGAGACTGTGAGGGGAGAGGACATGGGGTTGGCCACTGAGCTTTTCATTCACCCCTCCCCAAATCGCATCGGGGATCACGGACCACAGGGTCCACGTCCCAAAAACTATTCAGGCCCAGGTCCAAAGCAATGTTAAGATCCTGGACCAAAATAAACCCCCCCAATTCCTGAAATAGGTGTGGTGAAATTTGCAGTGAAATTGGGCCCCCTCTCCACATTTCTGTGGCTTCTTAATTCAACTGGTTTAGGATTTCAACTCCAGGAATATAAGGTCAGAGCAAAGGTCTGTCCACTGCTTGCAAAAATACCCCAACGTTTTAGGGTCAGATTCAGAAGAATAACCTGATCTAGGCTGTGCCTTACAAAAACTCAAGCCTGTAATGGGCCCCGAGCACAGCAACCACCTATGGTATGACCTTGATTTTGGGGCAAATCACGGAAATCTGAGACATCCCAGACCTACAATTCAGGATGGCTTCCATTCCTTTTCTTTAAAAACCCAACTCAGTGCCTCTGAGCCCCCCCCCCAAATTACTCGCTAGCACTGGACTGGGACTCATAAGCAGGATTTAAACAGGGCTTTGTGCCCTACCTGTACGATTGGGTTGTGCAAGTTCTTCTGTACCGGTCCAGGACTGTCCCCCTGAGGCAGAAGAAGACAGATCCAACTGAATTAGCCCCAACACAGCCCAGGAGCCCCCCCCCCAGCAAAAAGTGGCTTGTTCTGGCAGCCAAATCGCTGCGGCACTGGGATAAACCCCCAGGAAAGCAGCTCTGGAGGTCAGCAAACTTCCGAGCTCTACCCCAGCATAAAACCAACATCGTTTTGGGAAGCGGAGGACCCACAGCACCCCCTCAGCCCACAGAGCAAGGAAGCAAGCCCCCCGCACAGTGCCTTACGTTGCAAAGTGAGTGCGTTCGATGCCGGGGCGAGTTGATGTCACTTGGCGTGGACGATCGGTCGCCCTCGGCCGCAGAGGCGTCGGAGATGATGGACGGCTGCCGGGAATGACAGGGACTCACTCTGACCGCTGGAAGGCAGGGAGGCATTGGGGAGTTAACATCATGCCAGCAAACCTGGCCCCACGCAAAGCCTCTCAAGCACATCCGAAAAAAACTATTTTGGGGGCGTTGTGCCCATTTTTTTTTTCTCTCTCTGTGGAGGAGTAAGGCTGCTCCCCCAAGTGGGTTTGGCCCTGCACCCCTATCAGGGGAGGGGGGCTCACCTTGCCGGTCTGCCGAGTGCTGGGGGTGCGAGTGGTAGAGGGTCTGCTGGCTCTGCCGGATGGCGGCCGTCAGCGGGAGGTCGGCCTGCATCACCCACTCCTGGTTGCCGTTCAGCACCGTCTCGCCCGGCATGGCCAAGGAATGGCGCTTGGGGACGTCCTTGGTCAGCGTGGCGAGGGACTGCTTGGCCTGGGGAGGACGCCAAGGTGGTGGCGGCGAGGCAAAACCGTAAGAACATCTCCCGGCACAGCAGAACCAGCAGCAAAACAGTGCACCAAACCCACCCTCCCCTTCACAAGTAATACCCAAATTGTGTCGCTCCCTGCACTGAGGATATCCAGCTCCTTTTCACAGAATCGTCTCAGTTGGAAAAGCCCTTGAAGCTCCTCCAGTCCAACCATGAACCTCCCCCTGACCGTTCCCAACTCCCCCAGATCCCTCAGCGCTGGGTCAGCCCGACTCTTCAACCCCTCCAGGGATGGGAACACCCCCCCTGCCCTTTTTACCAGTGGATTTTTTTTTTCTGCCAGTACTGCAATAACACAAGCACTGCAGCAAACACTTACATGCAATATTGCAATAAATATTTAACTTCGGCAAAACTTGCCAGGGCGTTTCAAGCACCCGAGCTGCTGAGCCGAGTGCCCCCAGGAGTGATGCGGGGCTGACCCCCGAGCTGTGCCCACCATGCTACCAAGCTCACCATGGCCAGCTCGGCCTCCAGCTCCTTCATGCGGTTGTCTTTGAGGTCGAGCTGGGAGCGGAGGGCGCTGGCGTGATCCGTTGCCTCCTTGGCTTGCCGCCGCAGCTCCCACTTCTCCCGCTCCAGGAGGTCCTTCTCCTTCGCCAGGGCTTTCACCGCGTCCTCGCTCTCCTGCCAGGACACGGGGGGGCCATCAGGGAGGGGAAACCCACCCACTACTACAAACCCCTCTGCCACAACCCCCTTGGGGACCACTTGACTGCTGCAGTGCCAAAGAGCACGTGGTACCTTGGGGTGTCACCAGAGCCACGGGATGGCCGGGACAGCAGCAGGGAGTCCTCTGAAGAGAGATGCTCTGCTGTGCACCTGGTTAAAATTACACTGAATTTCCCAGGTCTGGCTCACTGCCTTGATTTCCTCTGGTATTTACTTATTCTTAACCTGCTGCAGTCCAGCCCTCGCAGCAGGGAAGTGTCTACCTGGTTGCAAGAGGCCGGCTGGGGCTTTGGCGGGTTTTTGCCCGATGGCAAAGTGGGTTTTGCACTCACATCGCTGCCAGCCCCCCGTGTCACAAGACCACAGTGCTGGGCTCCCACACTCACTTTCCTGTGCTGCTCATAGTTCCTGATGAAGTCGCGGAGCTGCTCCTCGCGGCTCTCCAGCGTGGCGTACAGCTGCTGCATCTGGCTCACCAGGTCCGTCTTCTCCGCCTTCAAGCGCTTGCGGTCGGCTTTCATGGCTGTGGGACAGACAACAGCTCGAGCACGGGGGACACGGCAGCTCCCCTGACTCCACCTCTTTTAGGTTTTGAGGAAAAAGTACCAAAACTATAACCTCAGGGGCTGGGCTGGGAGCAGACACCCACTTCACCCCCACTGCTGCACCTAGCACCCGTCAAAAGCTCCTAATCATCACCCACCCTCCACGGGCAGCTCTGCCCCTGGAAAAGGAGCTTTGGGAGCAAAACCGCTGCGGCAGCCTCAGGGCCCAGGGCAGGAAAACCTGCTGCTCCCTTTCCAGGATAAATAAACCACAACTGGTTTATTTTTAGCAGCGAGACAGATTCCTGCAGCGCTCCCACGAGCCCAGGGCACGGCTCCCTGAGTGTCCCCTTTTCAGCTCAACGATGCTGTGAGGGGACGAGGGGACAGAGTGGGAGTTTGGGGGACTGGTGGCAACACAGCATATGATGGGGGTGTTTCGCCAGCCTTGAGATGAAACCAAGACCTTTGTGTTTTCCCTCTCCCACAAGCCAGCGAGGGATGCTCACTGACCACCAGAACAGGGACAGCTTGCCAGAAGTCTGGTAAAACCAGCGAGAATTACAGAAATACCACATAGGACAAGGAGCTTCAGTAATCTCTGCACATGAAGTGCTTTGTGAACCCGGTCCTTGGCAGCGCTGCAGAAATGCCCTGCGGCTCCCTGCTCCAGATACACCCCACCCCACCAAAATAATACCCAATTTAGGAATCAGAATACAAATATTGCTTTTCGTTATAGGAAAAAACTTTGCGTGCTTTTCCTCCCCGAGGAAGTGCTGCTCTCAAGGGAGTGGGACGGTATGAAAGAAACACCCCCTGATCCCCCAACGTTTCCTGCGCTCGCTGCATTGCAAGCTGCTAAGCCTTGCAAGTCATCCTTCTATATTAAAAAAAAAAATCCTAAAAATCCCCAAACCCAACAGAAAAACCAACCTCAAAACCACCAAGAGCTGTATTACAAAAGCTGCTAGAAGATGAGAGCACTATCACGAGTGGGACCTGTCTCCACACACACGCATGGGTCCAACCTATTTTTATTAAAGAAATCGTTTCAGCCCACACTGCATTTCCTACCCCCTAGTAATGAGCCACTTCATCTTGGGGCTTAAGCTACACCATAACGTGCCTCTGAGCTCCTCCCGATGTGTGTGAGATAAAGACTGGACTGAGGAAAACAAGAAAACCATTACCATGGCACACTTAAAAGGAAATTAATTTCCTTCGTGCAATTAGCACCTTCGGTACCCTTGGCCTCACGCCTCTGCCTTCTCCCAGCACAGGGGAGCTCTGCTCCCCCCCCTCCTACAGCTGGGGACCCTCATTCTCCCCGTTGCTTTTTGTTAAATACTCAATAAAAACATTTCCACCTGCATGTAAGCAGGGACAACAGTATTGCATGCGCACCGCAGCCCCCAGGCATCCTCAGGCAGAATAACCTACTAACAGGGGATGACCCAGCACCGTGCACAACGTACCACCCCATAATGTACTGCAACGGCTCCCTAAATAAGGGCAGCACCACTGCTCAGCCAGCGCTCTCTAACTCATTTCAAATACCTCCCGCATCTCATCCAAGCTTGTTACAACCGCTGGCTCGAGGAGAGATTTACTCGGGTAGGAACTTCTTTCTGTGCACAGGTATTACTGTACGTGCTGGGAAGATGAATAATAAAACAAGTGCTTGGGATGGAGCCAGTAAGGAAGGGAGAGGGCTTGCAGGTTAGTGGAGAAAAAGGTGCGGGGAAAAAAATCAGACCAAATGGTAAAAGAAGCAGCAGAAGTTCTGGATAAGAGATTTTTATCTGTTGAAAAACAGGAGATGAAACTCTTCAGAACAACTACTCTGCCATTCAGCATCGGAGGTAAATCAAAACCCAGAGAAACAACAAACCAGCTAAGAAATGCTGCCATGACTCACGTTATCCCATGACAGGGAGTGCTTGTGATTCCTCCTTGCCCACTTCAATGAACGTGGCTCCTCCTGGGACAACTCAGTCCCTTCCAACAACAGGACCTTCCTTATTTTTATTTTTTTTCCCCAGCTTGAGAAATGACTACAGATACCCTCTAAACACAGTTGTGACCACACCACATCCAAATTTATCACACTTTCTCATCATCTGCATATATTTAAAAACAACTTTCCCCCTACCCAGTTATTTCCCATGAACTAAATAGCATTAATTTTTCTGTTTCGACAAGTTAAGCCGACTGAGCCATACTGGGGTGAGATCCAGACCCTGCAGAAGTGGGTACGCAGAGTTACCAACCGCACTGCCGATGACTCAAGGACACGTCGAGCGCAGTCGGTTTGGGTTTTAGAGGGGGAATTTTTGTCCCCCACAGCCCTTCCTGGGTCTCAGCCCCATCCCCATAGAATAATGAGTAACACACTGTTGAAAACCCCTTCTACTTTCAAGCTCTTGAACACTTTGCAACACATATATGTATTTTTAATTTCCTTGAGGATACTGAGAGGTTCTTATAAAGTTTCAGTCACATTTGCACTCTCTGATGCTGGAGGCGACAAAAGGCTCCTAATTAAACAGGGGGTCCCCTACAGCATACACCCTGCTTTAATTAGTGGCGGTGTTCAGGGTCCTTACAGATTTACAGAAAACACTTCATCATTTGCAAAAAAGGAAGAGAAATGCTCAGAAGTACTATTAGGAGGAGACTACATTACCAATATTCACACCAACCAGTGCTGCAAGAAGATGATGGGACTCGGGGCATTGCAAGAGCAGGTTTTTTCCTATTAACCCAACAGGACAATTTACCATTTGTTTCAGTTCATATTCAAGAGATTTGCTAAAATTAATGCACTTTTTTTTCCCCCACTCTATTACCACTGCTCTCCCTCCTCCAAAACCGATTAGCTCCTAAGCTTAAAAAAGGATTTATCAGTCATTTGAGAACTTCATTCCAAACCCAATTATTAGGAAATTAATTGAAAGCCACCCCCCACATCCCCGCCTGCACCGTTAATCAACCTGCGCTCCCGTTATTTGAGCTTCCAGCTCCTGCCACACGATCCGTCCCCGCAGCAGCGCTCCTTCGGGAGAAGGATGATGGACGCAGAGCAGTAACGGGACCTGCTCCGTGCTGGGATCCTCTCACAGCCAAAACAATTAAAAATCCACACACCCCCCCCAGCGCATTCTGTTTCCAGCTTTACCTAATGAGCCGAAATCGAATCGCTCCGATGCACCAGCCTGAGCGGCACAGCCTTGCCCGGGCAGCAGCCTGGCTGAAACCGCCCAGTGATGCCGTCACCAAAGGTGCCACCACGCCATGGGCCCTGTCTGGCCTCAACGTTTAACAACTTCTAGATGGAAATTAGCTACTGCATGTGAAAACCAGGCATCTCGCTGCCCCTGCAAGATTGGGACTGCTATAAATACCACCCCTACTTTGAAATTAATGATACACATTGAGGGAAAATGAGGTGGCAGTGGTTGCACCATCTAGCCCAGGTTTGCTTGGATGCCATATGATTATTCGTTTGACTACCTTGATAACGTGGGATTAGATGAAAACCAGCTGTGGACCATCGAAACAGCATCTCTGTCTGGCTTCCCACTCCTGGGATGAAGCAGCAGAGCCCAAACGCAAGCCAGGGCACAGGCAGACCACCTCTGTCCTGCCTGAAGAGCAGCTCCCTACGGCTCCCATCCGCTTGTGAGCACTTCTCTCACCTTGTACAATGTGGATTTTCATGCCAGCAATGGAATCAGAGCTGACTTTATTACTTACTGAATTATATACTTGTTTTCTATCACAGGGAAAAGCATCCTCAGGGAGCACCGCTCAAGCCTCAGTGATGTCCCGCGCAAGAGGAACACACAAACCCATCCCATCCCATTAACATTCACTTAATTTCTCCTGTTTCTCCATCCTAACCATGAAATTCAATATTGTCACCATGACTAACCCATAAAATCGGTCAGCCCTGGGCAGGAACCGCAGCGCCGCTCCCCGCTCTGTAATTCAACAGGCGCGCGCTCCCCGGGCGCAGCCGTCACCATCCGCAGAGAGGATCTTCCCGTTGAAGACGTCAGCGTTAAGCGGTGTTGGGCAGAGCCAGCACTTGCTCCTGGGCGTGCGGAGGTATGGCGCAGGCAGGAAATTTGAGTGCGATGTTGAATTTCAAGAAAAAATTAGGTGAGGCATTTGCCTTGGGAGGATTTACCTGGAAACACTGCTACAAGGCCAAGGGTTTTCCAAACCAGACCCCCAACAGCCAACAAGGTTGTAAACGACTTCTGCCGTGAATTCAAGGTGGGTCTTCAAAGCAGAAGAACATGTTTTCTGTTCAGAGCCCCATGTGTTTTTGGTGGTGAGGGCTTCCTTGACTGGGTCCATAGCTGGACACCCATCTGCTGGGACACCCATCTATCTGATTTTTTGCCTCCCACTCCCTTGCTGCAGCCAGCCGGGGGTGCTGGGGGTTTCTGCAGGAGGCTTGCTCCAGCCCAAATGTCATCCCTGGGGGGGTCACAGCTCTGAGCCGCAGGTTTGAGAGGGAGGAGACCAGGCTACAACCCGTTTGTGGAGCAGACATGAAGGCAGTTCATGCTTTCCTGAGCAGTGGGGAAAGCCAGCCTGAGGTCTCCACCTTGGCACTCAAAAAGGAAACAGAGACCAGGTTTGCTCTCTGTGTGATAATCCCGCAGGCGAACTCCAGCATATTGGATAAACCTTCCTGGAAACAGGGTTTCTGCCATTAGCCCACACTCTCATAGATGTCACCTGGCCAAGAGGCTCCTCGAGTCCTCCAGGCACTTGGGCACGGTCACTTCCCGCAGCAGGACCCAGCAGTAATAAAGCTGTTTGCACCTTCTCCTGTCGGAGATTTCCACATCAGAAATCCAGGCCACATCCATCCCTTGCCAGCCAGGGCCGGGGAAAAAAATAACTGTGTTAAAACTGTAAGTATGATACCGAGTCCCAGTCCCAGCAGAGGAGAAGAGGATGATCAGATGTAGCACTACAGGATTTTATGCGGACATTAATTGATTTTTTAAAAAAGTACAAGGGATGGAATTAGCCCAGAAAAAGGAGCAGTAAGGATGCATAAAGCACATGCTGCCAGGGATACAGAAACTTCTTGAGTTACTACTGCAGAGCATCCTGTGCTGCTCCAGCTTGTTACCACTGCACGGGGAAGATGTGGCATGGGCTTATTGCTGGCTTTACCCCCGTGCTAAATGCTGCCAGAAAGGGCTGGAAGTGCCCTGCCAAGGAGGGACGATGCACCCACCCTCTTCCATCCAGACCATCACAAACAAAACCCTGCATGGCCATGCAAGACGGAGGCTGGTAGAACTGCTGGAGCCCCCGGGAAGCAAACCCCGCTGACAAACCCTCTCCGCTTCCCTCTGCGCTCAGGCCCGGCTAGCCAACATCTATCTGAACCGGTCATGTCGTGCTTCCAGGCTCAGAGCCAGCAACGATGACAGATCTTCATATAATTTATCTCCTAATGACATTACACAACTCAAGGCGGCCCGATGCTGCCGGGCACGGGGCATCCTTCCGCGAGGACGGCGCGGTGTGCCTGGGAGATGCTCTCTGCCTGCGGGGCTCCACCGACACAACTCCCCGAGCCACAGGACAGCAGGGCCAGGTGTCCCTGAGCTCCCTGCTCTGTCTTATCCTGCAGCTCCTTCACACAGAACCATTACTTCCCCAAACGCTTCTATCAGCAGATTCATTTCTCCTGGCAGAACCGTTCACCAGGCGCAGTTATTGCCATTTTTCCTCCCCTTTTGGCCACGTTCCTCTGCAGACAATTTTTCATGGAGAGAAAAAAGATTTTTTTCTCCCGCTTCCAGCTGCTGATCCCGTTTCCACACTTCCCATCTCCATTTCAAGGCTGCTCTCTACTGCCCAGCACCCCCAGCACCAGCTCATGGGGCCAAATCCAGCACAATGAGCTTTTCCAAGTTACGCAAGCGCTTTCCAATATTGCAGGGGAGGGAAGGAGCATCGATTTAAAAAGGCTTCTCATTATGCGCCTTTCCAAGTGCAAGCTGAGATTCCCTCTTCCCACCCATCACATCTGCAAGAGAAGCCCTGGAAAACCAATCCCAGCAGCTCATAGAGCAGCCAATAAAAGCCCAATAAAAATCCAACAGTATATTCCTTAAATACTCACGATTCTCAAGCCAAACTCACTTATTCTCTGTATAATCCTCCACAGAAGCATGTATGACCTCACTGCAGCTTCTTAGACAACTTAGCTTTTTAGCAAATAGTCTTAAAATAGTTCTGCTTTCCTATCTTTTGCATTTATCAGCACTTCCCCCTCCCTGTCCGCACCAAGCAAATATTCTCTAATTAAGGTTTTTCTTCTCCAATTACAGTTTTATAAATCCAGAGCATTTCCTGCTGCCGGAGGCTGCACCGGTGGTGTGGAGGGGGGGCAAGATTTTGAAGATATTTTGGCTGTTACTAATTTATAGGGATGCTTTTGAAAATCAGAAAGTGATAAAATAATATTTTCCAAAATATTATTTCGAAACTCAGCCCAATTCCCTGTCCCCCTGTGCATTTCAGCATCCCAGATGGGGAGGGGGGGAGTCACGGTGGGCTGGGGCTCTCCTCATGTGCCGCTCAACCTCTGAGCCTGAAAACTTTTGACAGCCTCTCTTCATAATCCGCAAACACAAGCTGACAAGTGGAAGTTATATTTGGTATGTTGGGGATTTGAGATGATATTTAGAGCTGTGGCGCTGCCAGGGTTTGATGCACGAGAGCTCTCCCCTGCTCAGGACCATCCCCTGGCTTTGGCTAATGAACCATCCTTGCCCGGACTTACTGTCAGCTCGGTTTTGGGAAGGAAAAGCTGCAATGTCACGTTCTGCTCTGCACGCTCTGGTGCTGGGGCTGGCAGAGAGCTCACTGTGCAGCCACCAGCCAGGGAGGGAGAGCACAGCCCTGACCACGGCAAGAAACACCCAAAATCAACACCTGAAGAAAGGAGGAGATGCTGCACGTCACCTGGAGATGCAGCCTCTGCCTTTCTGCAGTGCTTCAATAACTCCACGTGGGATAAGGAAAACTGTGCTCACCAGGAAACTCGCTGCTTCCCTCCTAAAAGAGTCCGAGGGGGCTCAAAATCCAGCCCACCCCCACCTTGCAAACATGTCCAGCTGCATTTCAGCTGCTCTATAGCCAACCGTGGAGGAATTACTTTGCAATGCTGCAAACACCCTCCATACTCTGTTTCCCACCTGGCTGCTGCACCCTTGTCCTTCCTGACTCCGCACACCATGGCAGGACAACGGGGGGGTCCCAGGGAGCCCTGCCCTGCGATCAAACCCCCTGCCCCGAGCCCACAGTGAACACACACTGCACAGCCCAAACGAGAAGGGTGGATTTTCCCTTCCTCGTTCATTAACTTCCTGAAACTTCAGGGTCCCGGGGAGAGGTGCTCTTACCCTGCAGAGCCTCCTTGGCGCGCGCCAGCTCCTGCTCCTTCTGCGCCAGCTGCACCTTCAGCTCGGTGGCCGAGAGCACCTCCGGGGACTTGCTGCCGTGCGTCTCCTCCAGGTCTTTCGTCAGCATTTCCTTCATTTGCCGGAGCAGGTGAACCTCCTCCTGCAGCTGGGCCACCTCCTCCCGCAGCAGCGCTGGAGGAAGAGGAGACACAATGCGAGGAAGTGACCGACGGCTCCCAGCACAGCCCCGCTGCAAACTCAAATCCCAGGCAAATGCTGCTGGGGTGACCCCCCCGCCACATGCAAAACTGCTTTGCACAGCCCAAAGCATTGCTGTGGTGCTCGCAGCACCCCAGGAATGGAGGAGGAGGAGGAGGAGGGACAGACATGATGGGGAGGGCCCTGCACTGGTGTTTGCATTAAAAAATTAAAACCATATAGTGATAATAATAAACCCAGAACCACCTTCCCCATTCAAACCGGTTCCTGACAGGGTGCTCATATGGCCAGTGTCTAACAGAGCCTGCCCAGCTCCACTCTGCCCCACACGATATCCTTCAGCTCTGCCTCCAGCCACCCTCACGCTCAGGGCGTACTTCAAAATCCAACAAAATCACTCTGAGACTGGAAAGGAGAAGATGACGCTTTCACCTGCAGGCCTGAACCTTACATTTTTTAGGTGTATGCCCAGTGATGGCTACACCCTTTAGAGCAGCTGCACCACAGGAGCACCCCGGCACACCCCAGCCAGGATGCCCTCTGCAGCAGGCACCGGGGGAATCTCCAGCGACCTCATTTCCTACAGCTGCACCCACTGTCTAGGGTAATAAAGCGCTTTTTTGCTATTTCCACATCGCACCCATCATCTTCATCTCGCCTTGCTATCCTCTTCCTGCAAAACACTTTTTGGCCATGCACCACGGCTGCAATCCTCTGCACGAGCCAGACGTCGTGATCCCAACTGACTCATGAGAGCGTGTGAACAGTTTGATTTTGCTTTTCCCCCACCTTTGAGTACACACAGAGAAACCCCCTTACTCGTCCAGAGGTGCTTACCCATTTCTCAGGTTTGCACCACAACTGTGGACATGGGGAGAAAAATAAAATTCCTTCAGCCTCCACATTACCAGAAAAATAAAAAAGAAATAAAAAATAAACGCCCCCTCTCCAAGCTGCTGCGGTTGGGTCCTTGCCCCAGTGCCACCAAGTATCAGCCAGCTGGAGGGACAGGGCTGGGTGTGAAATATAGGGGATTTTCCCCTTGTTTTTTCTAAGGTCTCCCCGCATGTGCATCGGGCCATTTCCTTCCCGTCACCATTTGCGAAGCGAAGCGGGGAGGTGACGCCGGCGGCAGGACGGGGACAGGCGGCTCCCCCCGGCCCGGCCGGCAGCTGCGCCAGGAAGGCATAAAATCTGGTTTGCATACTTGAAATGCTTCCCGTATGAAAACTGGCAAGGCCCCATTCTGTAAATTATTTAGCAATAAAGTCACTAATGAGGAACAGTCGAGCTCCAGGCTGGGGATTTCGGTGCAGTCCAAAGTGCTTTCTTGAAATCCGTGCAAGGAGCAAGAACTGAGAGGCGGCCAAGGCCAAAGGCATCTTCCCTGGGGGCTGCAGAAATGCAGTGTTTCCCCTCCAGCCTTTGGGAAACTAGTGGGGAATGTGAGGGACTTGTACATGGTGTAATAATTACTGTGCAGAACCCACCCAGCGCCCTCCCCAGCCACAGAAATCCCCATGCAAGCCCAGTGGCTGCCGCTAACTGCTCTTTTTTTTTTTTTTTTCCCCCACTGATAATTCATTTTCACCTTTCAGTACAAGCTGCTTCACCCCAGAGACCCAGCTGGCTATTCCCTGGCAAATGATTAACTGGCAGAAGGACCCAAGCAGGGCAGTTTGCACAAGGGAGACCAATCCTGCTGGATTTCTGCAAATTGCAGCGTTTTGGTGGGAACCTAAGAAAATCCCCAACTCGGTGGAAAATCCCCAACTCCCAACACAAGTCCTTGGGCATGGCCCGAAAGCAGATTTTCAGCTGCTTCTCACAAAGCTCCTTTCTATAAAGTGTTGCACAATGCAGCTTCCCCCAAACCACATCATTCTCCTCTGGTCCTGGTTAGAAAATGAATAAAAAACTCAAAAGCATTCCTTCTCCAAAGCTTGCAACAAGTCAATTTAGTCCCCAACTTAGTACTCGTCTCTTGATAAAGGCAGAAACTACCGAAAGATTAAAATCCAAGATCTGTACGAAGCTATAGGTGCAATTTGGAAAGGAGCATGCAGCACCACGCTCCCCACGCCACCAGCTGCTGGACGTGTGGCTTCGGCCACAAGCCAAAGCCGACAGAGAAACCTGAATTATTGAACTCAGGATCAGTCAGATAGCTGAGATTCTTTGTTTTTTATATATGTAATTTAAGATAAAGATCCATATATACACACATAAAAAATGGAATGTTTTGCAATATATATCTATTTTGCAATATGTATATATTGGAAAGCACAACCCATTTTTTTTTTTTTTTTTAATAGAGAGATATATCTCTGAAAATTGCAAAGCACAACCCACGTAGCCAAGGTTTGAGGGGACAAACCCCGCACCTCTTGCTAGGCTCAAACAGCTAAAGCCACGCTGTCAGACCCCTCAGTGCATGGTGAAGTGTCGTACCCCTTGCTCTCTTCCCAAGCCCCCCCGGGGGCTGCTGGCGATGCCTTTGCTGCAGAAACCAGGAATGGGCTCTGAGGCAAGCTGAACCTTCTGTGCGCTTCCCAGCAAGTTTTTAAAAGGTTTTCTGGGAAAGAAGCTGGCGTTTCAGGGAAGCAATGGGAGTGATGGCACCTCCTGCGCTCCTCAGTTTCCTTTGGAAACTGCTTAATGAGCAATTTCTCGCATTATATCAAGTTGCTTCCTAGTATCTGCTGCCAGGACTGGGGCTGGACCAAAGCAATGATCCCAGTGATCCCATTCACTGCCTTACACCTGTAATTACCCTCATTTGCATACCGGATTTCCACTCCGCTCTGATTTTCCCTGTCCCCCCAGCCCGTCAGCACTCATCTGCCAAAATCACACCAACACAATTGTCTCCCCAAAGGGGCTTCCCCTCCCACTCCCCCAGCACCGAGCATCTGCTCCCCATCGCTCTCTCCTGCAAGTTTCCATCCCGTCTTAACCAGCATCGCCAGCTCGAGAGAGTCCTATGGAGCAAGCCTGTTTTATTTCCATAAATTGCATTAAGAGAGCGGCTCGGCTTGAAAGGGAAATTTTAACTTCACTCTAAAACAGGGGGGGAAAAAAATCCCCGCTGGTATGCCAAGTTTAAGCACCTAAATAAACGATCCGAAAAGCGCTATTTGCAGGCAGCTCTTAGCGACTGTTACAGAGAAGTTCCAATAACTGGGAAAATAGGGCCAATTATTCAGGAACCTCATTTCAGCCTCTATTCCTTCCACATACAGATGGCTCGGCAGGGATTTCCATACGCTTCCCCGGGAGCTGGCTGGGTCTGTGCCTCTCTCTGAAGTCATGAAGGAGCCAGACGTGGCTTGAAGTGAGCATCAGCCCTCTCAAAAGAGGGAGCGCCCCACACGAGAGGGACCACGCACATCCAAAACACGAGGCAAAAGAACCCAATCTGGAGAATAGAATGATTTTTACGTTTTTCTGCAGTTCACCCTTGCAAGGGTTGCTACACTGGGGTGCAAAGTTAAATCTGTTATTCGGAATCACGTCCCAAACGCAATAACCCTGAAGCAAAAAGCTTCCACAGGACATTTTTCTCAGTGTATTTTCCCCTTTTTAACCTTTTTTTTTTTTTTTTTTTCTTGGGGGGGGCATATTGCAATTGCACTGTAATTCCTGATTCCCCTGCGGGAAGGAGGCATCACCCTGCGCAGATGAGCCCCGTCACACGCTGGCTCATTCCAGCCCCTTCCAAATCTGCTGCAAGTGGGCAGCGATGAAATTAATGCAATTTAAACATTTCCTGGGCTAATTGATGAAAACTACCATTCACACCGCAATAACTGGCTGTTAATTATATTTCAGTTGATAGCATTAAACTTCCATGACACTGTTGGATCCTGTATCCTTTATGCTTTAAGCACTGATTAGTGTTAACAGACAATGTAAGTAAGATTTTTTTTTTTTTTTTAGCTTTTTTTAATTGTGGTGAACACCCCCAGACAGCATTTGGGGCTGAAGTTTCCATTCCAGCTCCTGCAAATCCCATCTTGGACTCCTCTCAGCAGCAGATCCACCAGCCGTGCAGCAGCAAAGCCTTTTACTGGCCTTGGAGCAGACATCACTTTAAAAACATCCATTTAAATGCCTGTTTTTTTCCATGTAACTCAGCTGACACAATTGCTGTACACGCGTTTCTGTCTTCGGAGAGTACATATTAAAAATGAATGCAGTATAAACGACAAGGTTTATGTTGGCGAAAAGAGTATCTTAGGTGAAAGCTGCATTTTATGCCACTTCTGCAAGTTTACCAGCAAGATGGTTTTTGCTTTGCTGGGCACAAGTCAAGGGGGGTTTTATCCAGGACATCATCAGGAAAATGGCCAGAAGATGCAAGCGTGCCCTGGGTTGCAGCATCAGCATATTGACAACAGTGGCCAAAGAGTGGGCAAAGAGAAAAGCCTCATTTGTGGACCAAGAGCTTAAAATCAGCAGCAGGTAACCCCGAAGGGTGATTTCACTGGACCTGCAGAGATGTAAAAGGGGGGAAAAAAGGTGTAAAATGGGAAAACGCAAAATCTGTGCCAACAGCATCACCTAACAGACCCTCAACACACGTCCCTCCTTCCTCCTGCAGAGCTTTGGCCTAGAATATATATACAGACATACACACACACACATACACACACACACACACGTAAATATACATGTACATCACCTCCATCCTGGGACGGAAAACAGAAGGGTAACTGGATGAAGTACATTATTGGAAGAAGATAATGACTCAAGCCCTAGGGATGAGCTGAGCTGGTACTTTAAAGAGCACCTCATCACCTTTGATCATTAAATAGCTCCCCAGCTTAGGGCCCAAGTTTCTTGCAGGAAGGTTCAGCCAAACACTCCTCCTGAGTCGCCTGCACGACGTACAGCTTTGCCCTCTCAGTACATCTCTGCAAGGAGTAATTTGAAGGCAAAGCACAAATTGCCAGGCACAGGGCTGGGTGACG